GTCTCAGCCTGGTGACACTTCCCCTAGGCCTCCTTGGAGCGCCAGGGGAGGGTCATGATCCGCCTGCCTGCCCCCCATGCTTCTAGGGGGCCCTGTGACTACCTCCTGACAGTACTGACTACGCTGTACCGCGACTGTCTACTTACTTGTCGCCCTTCCCTTTGAGACCAGCAGTTCCTGGAAAGCTAGGCCTGTATCTTTGTGTCACTGTCCCCCCAGCATGTAAAACACGGCTGCTGAATGAATGCGTGAACCGATCGAGGCAGGACGAGGTAGGACAGGCCGGGCGGGCACGGCCGGGTGGCAGGTGTCCCTCACGCCCCCACCCAGACCTCTCTCACACCCACCTGCCTCATGAGCTCGGGGTTGTTGAGCATGTGGCTGATCTCGGGGTTCCGCTCCATCAGCTGTTGCATCTGGGGGTTGGCCATGATCATGTGGCGCATCAGGTCGGGGTTGGACATCATGTCCTGCACCAGCGGGTTCTCCATGATCTGTGACAGCATCTCGGGGTTGGACATCAGCTGCCTCTGCATCTGCTGCTGCAGCTCCATGAAGTTGGCGGAGCCAAGGCCCAGGCTGCCCAGGCCAAGGATGCCCCCGAAGCCAGCTGTGGGATGGGGCACAGTCACACGCTGCCCCCAGAGCCCCTCCCCCTGGCCTGGGCCACCGAGTTTAGGTCTCCAGGACGGGCCCCCTCTGCTTCCCCCTTTTCTGGTCACCCCTGCGGCGCCAGCCCCAACCCACTGCTGGCAGAGACGTCAGCCTGCTAGACTGAGCCCTCTTTGGTGGCAGAGGCCGGGAGCCGGGGACCGTCCTGAGCAGAGGACCACCACTGATGGCCTGTCGAATGAGTAGGTCAACATCCCCCAACCGGAGCCCCAACCGGCTCCTGCTGGACCCACTTTTGCCCCTAACTCCGACATCCTCACCCACAGCCCCTCCCGCCCCAGCCCATTTCTCCGCTCACTTCTGACGACTGGCCACGCTCCCTCCTCCGGGAAGCCCCGCAGCCTGGCTTCCTGTCCTGCTTGGCTTAAGCGCCCATGTCCAGGGTCCCCATCCCCATGAGACCGTGAGTAGGATCATGTTTCTCCCTCCTCATGGCTCTCCCCCAACCCCCAGCCCCAAACAGACAGCGCCCTCCTCCCTAAAGGCTTACAGAGGATGGATGAGGCAGCACTGGGAGGCCCCTCCCCGGCCCCTGGGGAGGGGCCCCCACCACTGCTCCTCCGGCTTCCACTGCCAGCGTCCGAAGCGGCACTGCCAGAGGTGGAGGGCTGGGCAGGGGTGGCGGGTGAGGCGGGCGTGGTGGAGGGGGCTGAGGCAGGGTCTGGAGTGGAGGGCGAAGAAGCAGTGGTGGCAGCTGGATCTTGAGCCCTGAGGACAGAGAAAGAAATTCCCTGTTCACGGGACCACAGGAAGAGGAAAGACAACCGTCCCCTGTCCCCGAGTCCCCCTGAACCCGGGCCGCGTGCTAAGCAGCCCCGAGGCTGGGGCGGGGTGATGCTGGGGGTGGTCAGTAGGTTGGATGGGGAGAGAGAAGGCAGGATCCCTTGCCCTGCCAGTGAGATCGGTGGGCTGCCTGGCCACGTATCCAGAGCTCCCTTCCTGGGCCCTGGCAGAGGCCCCCAGACCCCGCCGACGGATGGGTGAGAAAACAGATGGAGTCGCAGGCTGGACCTGCTCCTCTCCTGAACTCACTTTTGAGGGGTCTTGATGACCAGATGGACGGTGAGCCCATCTTTGATCCCGTGCTGGTTCAGTGTGTCTCCGTCCTTGAGGATCTTGCCGGCAAAGATCAGGACCAGCTGATCCTGCTGGGCCTTAAACCTCCGAGAGATTTCCTCCTTGAACTGTGCGGAGAAGCAGAGGTCACTGTGGCGGCCGCCCGGGCCCCTCCCACCAGCGACCCTGGCTTCTTCGGGAGTCTCTCCACTCTAGCTCGCGCCCCTGGTTGTGGGACATGCTCTCTGCAGTCTCGACCCCATCCCCCCCGCTGCAATAAGCAAAGCGGCTCCTTTCTCCACCAAGGAAATGGACCAGTGAGAGGTCTCCTCTCAGCTCTACCCCAGAGTCTCCTGGCCGACCCGGGAAGGGCTGCTGCCACCTGCCCCTCCCTCTTCAGCCCTCTGCCCAGTTCCCTGCCGGGTACTGCCTGGCAGCACTCGGTCTCAGCTCCTCCAGCTGCCTTGGCCCGTCTCCCCCAGCCTGCTGGTAACAAATGGAACACAAGACCCCAGGTACTTGTCACAGCACTCACTACTCATGAGTTAGGAGCGTAGTCCCACGAGACACACATTAATTGTTATCTCCATTTTAAAGATGAGGAGCTGCGGATCAGAGCGAGTCGGTAATTTGCCCACGGCAGCTGGACTCAGGTCTCAATACCCAAGGCCCGCTCTCAACCAAGCACACTGCCTCTCAATTAGAGCTGATTTCAAATCCGGCTTTGCAAGGAAAAGGATCTAAATTCTGGAATATAGTCATTTTCTAAGGGTGGGGGGCAGTGATGGCATTGTAGGCTGGCTTGGGGAGAGTTAGACTCGCAAATCGGCGCCCCCCAAACCAAACCAAACCAAACCACAGCACGCTTGCTAAAGCAAGGGCAGCTTCAGAAGCCTCCCCTCCAACCAGATGGCCTCTCTTCAGCCCCGCCCCAGTGAAATTCTGGGGCGGCCACAGGGGTGGCGAACACAGGCAATAGTCCCTCATTCAGTAGGTTTTTATTGAGCACCTAGTGCACACTGTAAATCCTGGAGGAGCTGAGAACCGGAAGTGACCACCTGGATTTGAAAGGGCAGGGTCTGGGCAGGAGAGCCTCCCGCCACGGCCCGGCAGCAGAGGGCGCGGGGTGGGGGCGGTCCTCCCAGACGCTCCGCAAGCGCCCCCCGCCCGCTCTCCGGGCCCAGCGCCTGGCCCGGCCCCCAGTCTGCTTCGGCGCCTCGAACCCCGACAAGGAACCCGGGCGCACGCTTCCCCCAGACCCAGGGTCCTTCCCTGCGCAAGGTGTCCCTCCCCACTCTCCACCACGCCCCCAGTCCAGGCCACAAGGCGAACCCCGGCCTCCCTTCCCCAGCACGAGCTACGCTCCCCCACATTCCCCTCGCCGGACGCCCCCTGCCCGCCTCTCCTGCCCGCCCACTCCTCGGAGCGTCTGCTGGGCCCCCGCCCTCG